TCACCTACTAGCAAACCTGTTTATGACGTTAAAGGGGAACTGAAATGAAATGATCAGAAATTGAAATGATCATAAACCAGAAAACACAGCACAACTGAAATGCTCTTAAACTGAAATCAACAACTGAAATTGAAAGAGTTACAGCAGCAAAACAGGAACCAGCAGAAGAAATTAAACAAGTTGCACCAACAGCAAAAACACCAGCAGAAACGAAACTGAAATTAAGCTACTCTATTGCAGGAATGAAAATGAAACTGAAGCAGAAACTAAATGATAGATTCAACATGAAAATAAGGTCATTACAGAAGTGTTGGGACTGAATCTGTTTCTAAGCAACACCAAAAAAATGGAGAATGTTGTTCCGAAATAAAAACATAATGACATCAAATATTGAACGATAAAATTAGCGGCATCTCTTCAAATCCCTTCAAATCCATTGCCATCGATGTTGGAAGGATTTTCCTGCATAATGACATAACAATATAAGAACAATGTTGAAACACATAAAATTGTAGGAAAAATGCTCATTTGAGAACCCATTCCAATGACTGTAGATGATTGTAATGGTTGACTGAAAATCTGGCTCCCGAAATCACCCTATAGTAAATACCAACATAAGTACGAACTTAAAATGGGCTAAAATTTTAATGTCAAATGTATGTTCTAACCAATAGGATCTGTGAATACGAAAACGGCGTAGGCTGCGAACATTGAATTTCTTGACTGCACTGGACAACGGGAGCAGACTCTTCCACTTGACTACGCGTACCTCGCGATCTCGTATGCTTGATTGAACTCGTAGTTTCCTGCATACCATTGTAACGGGTCAGTCCATCGCCGAAATAAATGTTATGTTTTGCAACTGCAAGTAACGTACCTTTTTTTATTTGAACTGGACTCCAATGGACCTTTTCTCCGAAGTTTTCGTAGTGCACCCTTTCTTTTCGACAACACGGGATCAAATACACCGATGTCGATAGTATTTTGGGAAATTGTACATTGAGTCGGTTGCGAAGGGACATTATTACCACCGCTTGAATTGGACGTCCTGAGTTGTATTGCTTTCGCCTTTATCCAGTCCATGATCGAACGTGAACCCCCTTCATCTGGTGCAGCGAGGTCTGCCACCTCCGTGAAAGCCATACACATTTCATCGTACCTCAACTACTCAGGTGTGCTCACCAACCTGTCATAATTTACTGCGACTCTCGTGTGCGCTCTACTGCCGTCTTTCCTCCGTCGCCGCAAAATATACCTCTCTGGCATTGAACTGTGATCGCATGCCTACAAAGAATTCCACGAAATTAAAACAGGTGGCAGCTACAAGTAATCTCTAACGTGTCACCACGAAAGGACACGGAAAATGTTTTCTTCTTCCGACCCCCGAGATGTACAACGGACTCTCTAACCTCGTAATTCATCCCTAGCCAACTCTGTTCGACTGAGATGACGTCACAATAAACATTTCATATGAACTCAGCCTGAACTTCTTTGAACTTAGAAATTGTGTAAATTAACTGAAATTGCTTTTCCATCTCGAAGGTAGTTGCGCATGGTACCATCTGCACGTAAGACTTGAAATCAGCCTGAAACTCTCTTTCAACCTTATTCCTCAATGCTCTTTCGTACTGTTCGACAAATTGTTTCAAAGAAGTTTTTGAGTCGTTGTGTTACTTCTTGAATTCGAATCTCTTGTAAATCTAAATGAGAAATAATTTCTTCCGGTTGGTGGTAACCACATTCTATGGAAAATAGGTACACAACAACATGTTTCAGTAAACAAATTGTTCCAAAAATTCAATGACTTACCGTTTTCAGTTGGGTAAACAAAATGGGAAGGACTAGGACCAGCTCGCGCGACACTTGAAATCAGGAGAATGTGCACCACCGTCGAGCTCAGCTGGACGAGAAGGAGAAGGAGAAGGAGAAGTAGAAGGAGAAATGGGCTGGGCGGGAAGGAGAAGTAGCAGTAGCAGTAGAAATGGGCTATTTTTCCTCTTTTGCCCTATTGTTGAAGAGAGTCACGATTTGAAACGATTTGTCTCGACCGGCCAATTTTTTAAACTTCTGTAAGGTGCCTGTAATACAGTAACCTGTAAGAGTAGCATTTCCGAAGGGAGAAAGTGTGCAAAAAAAAAAAAAATTGAAATAAAAAAGCAGATGTACGAAACAGAAGACGTACCAAATGTCCTGGTTAAACCCCAAACATTTACTTGAGAAAACTTGACTTTTGATGATTGATTATTAGCCTACTTTAGTCCTAGATGTTGAAGTAATCAAAGAATTGGAGAATCCTTATTTATTGATGTGTTGACTTATAATTAGTAGAGTCCGCCTGAACTAAAGAGGGTGGAGATAGTAATGAAAAATACAACCTTAAATTGTACACAAAGAAAAGAGTAAAAATAATAAGTTTGGTAGTGTGTGAATCATACGAGAGTTGAAATGAATATTGATTTGGTATTGTAAATTTGAAACAGTTTGTAGATTTAATATGGTGACTTCAAATCTTGAGGTAAAAATTAGATTGTCTAACCAAATATTTTGTATGCTTGTGTGTTTGTTGTTATTTATATTAAAGTTTTGTTTAAGGACAAACAAATTTTTAAGTTTGGAGAAAGAGAATCTTTACTGCGATGGAGAGAGTCTAATATATAAATAGATATATACAAAATGATACATTGTAAGCTAAAGATAAAAAGCAAAGCCATAATCTGCAACTTTACCATAGATCAGGAAATCCTACTCTACAAAAACCAAACTCGGCACAAAACCAGCAGTGTAGAAGGATGAAGACAAATCCGAAACTTCAGATTCTTGATCACCTCCTTTTCGAGATCATGCAAAACCAAATTCTTGTTGCTCATTTCTAGAGAATTTTCCCCATTATTTACAAACTTTAAGGGAGCTGACATATAGTTTTTTGCAATAATATATCCCTTCGTCCAAGATTCCAAACTTTCCATATTCATTAACCACATAAGAAAATTTGTTTGTAAAATGATGAAATCTGCAAAGAATGTAAAGAATCGGGGACTTTCAAATAACGGGATTCCAGAGCGTCACTGTGCCAGCATAAGTGAAAAAGTTGATTTCAAACAAGCAGATGAGCCCTTTGCTTGAACCCACAAGCCTCAAGTACCCATGGACACTTTATAAAGGAGACTCAAGCCTTTTTATGCAAGAAGTATCGGTTGTGGATATAAAGGCCGTGAATGAATTAGAAATGAACCTGAGTAGGAGACAGATTTTATCAGGAGTTTTTAAAAGAGGATTTGGAAGATGACATCTTGCGGGAAGCTGTAGAAGAAATCGCTCTCTCTCATTCTTGCTAATTTTGCTAATTTTGATCGTCGGAGTTCTCAATTCAATTGTGCCACAATGGGGAACTTAGGGGTTACTATAAACAAAGAAGAAATAACACTCGACATTATTTTTGGTAAAAAAAAGGCTTCTTGCAAGTTGCAGGGGATGCACGCTACAGTAGAACTTGTCCTTGTAGGCCTGGATAATTTTGCAACTCTTCAATATATTAAATAAGCATACGTTGCAGTGATTGATCTTCTATAAAATTGGCTAAAAACCAAATGAATTTTCTATATCCCGTACCTAGTATTAGTTAATTATTCAACTGAAAATACAGCATGGCTATCAGGCACAATTTTCAAAATTTCAACAGACCTGAGACCCTTAAAATTACTATATGGTATTGAACTACAATTCAAAATCAACTCTCAGCATCCAGGCAAAAAAGGATATCATTTGAGAGGTAACACGAGTACAACACTGTCCAACTATATGCAGAACATGTAATTTAGTGTCTGCACCTGTTGGCTCAAGATACGTCTGCATTTTATTGTTTTCGAACTAGAACACATCTAATTATATAAGCAGAGCAAAAGTCATAGACATATATAGCATTTATGCATGTGAAACTGTAAAGAATATACATCATCATAAATTTTCTGCACACCAAACAACATTCTAATGCATATAGTCTTGTTTATGAAACTAAAGTTGGAAAGCATCAAACAGAAAGGCTAAGCAAAATGTATCTGAGATATGCTTGGTGTACATAATTTATGTACATAGTGGTATACATAACACTCATATAGGTGGGGTCCACTCTAATAAAATATTCGAGTGGACCCCATCTCCTTGTGAGTGTTATGTACATCTCTATGTACAATCATTATGTACATGTAGACTTATTCAATGTATCTTTATAAAGAGGGAGAGTACGTCTGGCATACAGATAGCTGTATAAATTGATAGATTGAAAGCTAAAGATACAAAGCAGATCACGTTGTTGCAGTGTTTTAAGGATCTCTATAATAAATATGAAATGGTTCCAGAAAAGATTGGAAGTTAATATAGGCAGTCTCCATCTCGCCTACCTCGGGCAAATTTAGTCTCTTCTCTAACTTTGGTAATTCAAGTCCCTAAGACTAAACCAGCAATTTTAAAGACAGCAGATTCTCCAAGCAATGATCCACAAGTGACTCCTATGATAAGCAAAAAGATTCACGTTCCTACGCAATTCTTCTGACCATTATCAAATATAACTGCATATGCATACACCGTTCACGGTTTGAGTAAATATAAAGAACCATGATATTTATGTGTTCAACAGCTGCGTTTTTCACCCTGATACAATAATAGTTCTTAGTGTGCAATTTTTTGTAATATGTAAGCCACTTCCAGAGGCAAAATCTACCCATTTCCAATTAAAGCTTCGTATTGAGATAATTAATAACATCAATATATTTATAAAATGACAGCCAAAAGGTAAGAACATCAGTAGTTCCAACAGTACAATTACCATGTAATTACTCAGTTACACATACTACAGGCACACACCATGATCATAATGCAAACTTTGTACATGATGAATAGCCAGGACTGACAGTAAAAGTTCTTAATTACATAATTCACAGTATAACAGCTAACATAAACAATACTCCTATGATATACTAGTACTAGTACAGAACTTTCACATCTTATCCTTCATATTTTCTTGATACGCTATCAATCTCTGAAGCCACCATTACCTGATCATTCATCAGGATACCATTACCATTGATCGGGACAATTTTAGTCGCAACTTCCTGTCCATCACCAAGCAAAGCCAAACTTGGCACAAAACCAGCAGTGTTGAAGGACAACGGCAAACCAGAAACTTCAAGATTCTTGGTCTCCTCCTTTTCAAGGTCGAGCAAAACCAAATTCTCTTCGCTCATCTCAAGTAAATCTTCCCCATTATTCAAAAACTTTAAAGGAACCATACGATTTCGTACAATACTATATTTCTTCATCCAAGACTCCACCTTTCCATACTCATTCATTAACCACATATCCCACCTCTCACCAGCATTATCAGAATAACTAACAAACAGAGCCAATGATTTTTCATCAATCGATGGAGACAATCGCGATTCCCTAAAATTCAGTTCAAGATCTTGCGGCAACTCCATCACCTTAAAAACCTCCTCACTTATACTGAAAGCCATAATGCAATTAGGCTGACCATCAGCCGTTAGCCTTGTATACGCCAACCAATGCACAATCTCATTCACAAATACATTGCTGGACCAATTATTGTGCATAAAACAGGGCACTACCACCTCAATTTTCCTCCAAGATTCATTTTTTATTTGATAAACCAAAGCCTGACGTCCACGCTCAGATTCATAGTCGCTATCATACAAAATTTGCACCACCTTGAAATCAAAACTTTTATAATCAAATCCAAACCCAACAGCCATGTGAGAAAATTTGGTTGTAAAATGATGAAACCAGTGCGTATCTGGAAGAATTTTGAATTTCCTAATAGAGGGATTCCAGAGAATCACCGTGCCAATATAGGTGAAATAGTTGGTGTCAAACAAACAGATGAGTCCATTGCTTGAACCCACGAGCCTTAAGTACCCATGGACACTCTCAAAAGGAACCTCAAGCCTTTTGCACAAAGAGAACTCGGTAGCACCGTGAAAAGAGATGTACTGTTTTGTGTAGTCGGTGGATTCATAGTAAAGCAGGTGGCGAGGGTCGCCGGTGTCGGTGCCGCCGCCACCACTGGTTGGGGCGGTGGAGTATGTAAGGAGTTTGATGAAGTGGTGGTTGGAAATTAAGTAGGCGAAGGATTTAGAAACGCACCTGAGTTGGAGAAGCGATTTCACGGACAGCTTTACGAGGATTTGGAAGATGACATCTTTTGGAAGGCTGGAGAAGAAATCACGATGGTTTCTCATTCTTGCTAGTTCGTGCCAAATGGACGGCTTTGGCCTTTGGGGAATGCATACAAGTAGCATAATTGTACATAAAATGAAGAAATATTTGTTTTTGGTAAATTAAAAAAAAATGCTTATTGGCCATTGCACGTGTAGTTGCCACGAATGCATATCCACCTCAAGTACATCTCCTTAGCACCTTGATACCATGAATGAAAAGATATCTCCTTGGCTAGATTAATCTCACACTATATAGTAAATGTATCTACCGCAGATCGCTTAAATTTATCAAAATTGATGTAAGAGCATCATAAAATGTTTGATCACTTCTTGGTACATTTACCTCTTTTCTTATATACCAATTTCACATCGAGCACAACTTAATTGTTAAATTAAGAATCAAACGAATATATGATAGTTCTTGCTTACTCGAATTCCTTTGTTTTCGAGCTGGAATTCCCTCGCTTGCTTAGATCCCCCACTTGCTTGGATCGCTCTAAATTGCCTTGTACTAAATGGTAAATGGGGCGAGGGTGAGGAACATGGTCTTCGTGCCGAATTCTCCATTTGCTAAATCTCTATCTTCTTACTCGCAAACTTTAAGGGTCCTTCACGCTATTATTCCCGCTACTCGAAGAGGGATTTTTTTCCCAAAATGTAGAGAAATTAATGTCAATAAAAGTCTATCTCCTGCATAAACTCATCTCATAACATGAAATATTCCCATCATACACGTTTAGCTCCCAAGCCAGCCAAACCAATGGCTCTAGTGAAAGTTGAATGGAACCAACATATTCGCATAACAATTAGATCATTCCATGACTTGGCCACCCAACATTCACAAACCATTGATCATTAGCAGGATACTTAATTTGTAGAGTGGTGCTATGTGTACACACAATTTTTTACACCCCCCTCACATGGAGGAGGGCCCACGATTATTTTATTATGTGTGGGCCCCCCTCCAAGTGAGGAGGGTGTAAAACATTGTGTAAAAAATTGTGTACACATAGCTTTATTCTAATTTGTATACATTCAAATTTGTTGCTGTCCTGTACGGTAGGTTGTATATCACTAGCTAAACGTAAAATCAAGAATCGTATATCAGGGTAAAACCATGTGAGGATGTGACCCAATTTTGAGGCATATTATTGTTGTGGCCATGCTCTTATTTCACCTCCGAACAGAGTACATCCTCACATGTTTTTACTCCAATATGTGATACTTGATTCTATGTTTGGCCAGTGCATACTATTGTAAAGATTTTAATTGAACATGAGGGCTTATATGTGAAATATTGTGTATTAAATTAAATGTTATCAATTTTGGTTAAGCCTGTTTAAAGTATTCTAATAATATTTCGGTGTGAGGAAATTACACAAAACCCTATGTTTTAAAATCCAACTTAAAAAATCAGGTACAAAGTTTACCTACTCAAAAATAAGATATTTTTAATAAATTAATGTATTCAAAATAAATATTTTTACTAATATAACAATTCAAAACTAAATTCATCTACCACACGTCTCTAACCCCAATTCTCTCATCTCATCTCTTTCTCTCTCTTTAACCCTCCTCTCCCATCTCGTTTCTCTCTCTCTATAGCAGCAACGACGCTGCTGCTGTGATGCCACCGTCGCCGCTGCCGTTGTGGCGATCCCTCCTCCTCACTTCTCAATCTCCATTCTTCTCTCTGTCCCCATCTCTCTCGCCTCCTTCACTAAGCCGCATTGGGAGCTGTAACAGGGAGCGCCGTGTGTAGTAGAGTGGGTAGTGGTTGACAATGGTTGGTTTCTGAAGTGGCGATCTGATTTTGCAGTGGTTGACAGTGGTTGAGTTTTGAAGTGGCGATCTGATTTTGCAGTGGTTGATAGTGGTGATGGTGGGCTCCGTGATGGTGGGTTTGTGTGTAGTCGCCACCGCTGTAATGACGAGGCTCCGATATGGTGGGTTTGGGTTCGGTTTGTGGTGGGTTCGGCGATCTGAAATTTTCGTCGATTTGGTGATCTGTACCACGGTCCATGTCGTCGGTAATGGTGATTAGGTGTTGCGGTGGTGAGATGCATGTGATGGTAGTGAATCTCCTTGGGATGTGGTCGTGGCGGTCGATTGTGACAGTGGCAGAAGAGGTTGACAGTGGTGGTAGTGTTGCGGTGCTGGCGACGGTCGCAGAGTGAGAGTGGTCACAAGTGGCGNTCATCTCTTTCTCTCTCTTTAACCCTCCTCTCCCATCTCGTTTCTCTCTCTCTATAGCAGCAACGACGCTGCTGCTGTGATGCCACCGTCGCCGCTGCCGTTGTGGCGATCCCTCCTCCTCACTTCTCAATCTCCATTCTTCTCTCTGTCCCCATCTCTCTCGCCTCCTTCACTAAGCCGCATTGGGAGCTGTAACAGGGAGCGCCGTGTGTAGTAGAGTGGGTAGTGGTTGACAATGGTTGGTTTCTGAAGTGGCGATCTGATTTTGCAGTGGTTGACAGTGGTTGAGTTTTGAAGTGGCGATTTGATTTTGCAGTGGTTGATAGTGGTGATGGTGGGCTCCGTGATGGTGGGTTTGTGTGTAGTCGCCACGGCTGTAATGACGAGGGGCTCCGATATGGTGGGTTTGGGTTCGGTTTGTGGTGGGTTCGGCGATCTGAAATTTTCGTCGATTTGGTGATCTGTACCACGGTCCATGTCGTCGGTAATGGTGATTAGGTGTTGCGGTGGTGAGATGCATGTGATGGTAGTGAATCTCCTTGGGATGTGGTCGTGGCGGTCGATTGTGACAGTGGCAGTGGAGGTCGACTGTGGTGATGGTGACTGGTGGTAGTGTTGCGGTGCTGGCGATCGTCACAGAGTGAGGGTGGTCGCAAGTGGCAGTGGCGGTATTATGTGACCCAATATTTGGTGTATGTGACGAATTATTTGTTTATCTGCGACTAAGTATTAATCCGTGACCTTAAAATTCGGTAATCTGTGACTAAAAAATTTCGTGACCAACCATTCGGTAATCTATGACCAACTGATTTAAAAATTTGTGACCGTTTGACCTGTAAATTTTGATGTGTGACCAACTAATTTTGAAATCCGTGACCAAAGAATTAAATGTGACCTATAAAAATTTTGAACTGTGATCATAAAATAATCTGTGACGTATAAAAATTATTATTTGTGACTGAAAAATAATATGTGACCAGAATGATTGCTGAAATAGTCGTCTGAATAGTCGCCGAAATAGTCCCCGGAGCGATAGGGCACTACATCCGATAAGGTGACTACGGCTAAGGGTTTCCTTGAGAACCTTGAGAAGAGGCTTGCTAAGAATGAAACTAGTACACTTTTGGCAAACCTTATCTCAATGAGGTACAAAGGGAAATGAAACATATGGGAGTACATTATGGAAATGTCTCACATTGTTTCAAAACTAAAGGCACTCAAGTTGGATTTATCTGAAGACTTGTTGGTGCACTTAGTTCTGATATCCCTTCTGGCACAATTCAGTCAATTCAAGGTGAGCTACAATTGTCAAAAGGACTCATGGTCCCTTAATGAGCTCATCTCACACCGTGTCCAAGAAGAGGAACGATTGAAGCATGACAAGACATAAAGTACTCATTTAGCCGCCACCTCCAAGGACAAAATGATCAAGAGGACAATGATAAGAAAGCTGCGGGTACAACATCACAAAAGAAATAGCAGAAGGAACAAACTGAGGGTTGAAGAAGAACTGTAGCAACTATCACGCATGGCGTGCCAAGAAATGAATTCTTCTTCATTTAGTTTGTTCCGAGGTTAATTTAACTTTGGTACCTAGACACTCATGGTGGATAGATTCTAGTGCAACAACTTACATTGGAGATTTTGTCTAAATATTAAATTTTTAATGGCAGAACTAAAATATGACTAGTTGTATTTTTTTAAATAAAAAACTGGTCTTGTTTACTTGCAAATATCTACTTTTTTTATCACTATTTTCAATGCCTCCATCTTCAAAATCACAATCACATTTGCCTCTATTTTAATATTTGTAAAAACACAATTTGTGACTCAAAACGATGGGCCGATTGAGTACTGTGTTCAACAGGCCAGTTGAGCAGAAAGCCTCTTTTACTAATTTCGGTATGTGGAATTTCTACTGCTTACTTTTCTGGGATGAATGACAAATGTGATTTTAACTTTGGCTTTCTAGTATTGTATATTATTATGCCTTTGTTTCACTATCGTTGTCATTTATATTGTTGTCTTAATATTTTTTTTTGATAAGTAAAGAAACTTTTATATAAAAAAAGTATCAGTATACTAGAAGTATACAAAATGACAAAGAGATCAAAAAGTACAATGGCCCAACAAGTCTACAAGAGAGCTGATGGAAAGAAAACCCAAACCCTTAACCTACTCAAACAATAAATAAAAGAAGCTGCTCTTCAACTCCAGAATAGAGGTCTCAGTATCCTCGAAATGTCGAGCATTTCTTTCCCTCCAAACACACCAAAAAACACAGTGGGGAACAACCCTCCATACCAAGGAAGTCCTACTACTTCCACTAGGCCCCTGCCAACATGAGAGAAGATCAAAAATAGTTTTCAGCATGACCTACTCGACCCCGAACAAAGCAAACACCAAATCCCACAATTCCCGAGCAAGCTTACAGTGCAGAAGAATATGGTCAGAACTCTCCCCACTCTCCCTACATAAACAGCACCAATCCACCAAAATAAGGCCACATTTGCGAAGGTTGTCCATAGTTAAGATCTTCCCCAGTGCTGCAGTCCAAGAGAAGAAAGCCACACGAGGAGGGACCTTGGATTTCCACACACACTTCCAAGGGAAAGTTCTAGAAGATGGAGAGCTCAAGTAACGATAGCAATCCTTAACAGTAAAAGCCTTGGAATCCGAAGAACCCCAACTAATCAAATCTTCCCCTCTACCTTGCACCTTAATAGAGTAAAGGAGATCCATAAAAGAAGAGATGGACTCCAACTCCCAATCCTGCACACTTCGAGTGAAGAGTACATCCCAGTGAAGCATACCATTAATGTGAG